AATTGACTTTTTGGAAAAAATAGATTTTTTTAATATTTTGATTTATTTTTTGTATTTTGATTTTTGTTTGAATATTTTGAACATTTTTTGAAGCATTCGTGCTGCTTAGCTAATTTGGAATTGAAAAAATTCGCACACACATACATTCAGTTTTTTTAAGGTATGCGAAAATGTTCAGAAATCTTTGGAACGTAAAGATATATAAAAAAAATATTTTAGATTTTTTTGCGATTACTATAACTTACACTATGGGAAGTTAATAAGTACATCTGGAATACCAAACCTTCAACATACTTTTTTGTGAAACATCAAGAGACCAATTCTCGGATAAAATAGAAATGTTATGGCAAATTCATGATCTGGATCTATAGTCGTATGAGTTGGTAGTAACGAATTTTGAAAAAAAAACTATGTATTTACTGCGCGATCAGGCGTTTTACATATAAAACCTAACTTCACGTATATGTGTTATCAAAGAGACATCAGAAAGTTGCTATTTGGGGGTTAGATTTCAGGCGTTTTACACATAACATCTAACTTCACGTATGTCAAAGAGACATCAGAAAGTTGCTATTTGGGGGATAGATTTACCACCATGTTCCGGATCTATATTCGTATGAGTTGGTAGCAACGAATTTTCAAAAAAACTATGTATTTACTATGCGATCAGGCTTTTTACACATAAAACCTAACTTCATGTATGTGTTATCAAAGAGACATCAGAAAGTTGCTATTTGTGGGTTAGATTTACTGCCATGTTCCGGGTGTATATTCGAATGAGTTGTAGTAACGAATTTTCAAAAAAACTATGTATTTACTGCGCGATCAGGCGGTTCTACACATAAAACCTAACTTCACGTATGTGTTATCAAAGAGACATCAGAAAGTTGCTATTTGGGGGTTAGATTTACTATCAAATTACGGGACTATATTCGTATGAGTTGGTAATTACGAATTTTCAAAAAGATTTGTAATTGCAGTGCATTTTACACATAAAACCTAACTTCACGTATTTGTTATCAATGAGACATTAGAAAGTTGCACTTATGATAAAATTGTTATTTAGCGTTTGCGCGTTTTGGAGGTTAGGTTTAATGTGGAAAACGCCTGATCGCATTGTGACATAATATTTCTATTTAATCCGTGATTTGGCCTTTGAAATGTTGTACGACTAATTTAAAATTCACCACAACCCAATCCGTATCTGCATAACACTTTCTGTACTCTTAACAATTCTTCCAGACAAATTCGATTGTGCGAATCGGTTCGCATTACATTTCGGCATTTTGTATCCACTTGAACACAATAAATATTAATAAAACGTATTATAACTCGTTCTTATGTTCATTCAGTAGTGTCCTTGTAGTGCTAAAAACCAGTTTTAATACCAATCCTAAATAGAAAAAAAGCCCTCTTTGCTCTACAATGACTAATAATATTTCTTGTAGCCGGCAACAGAAACGTGCGTAAAAATTATTATGTCGGCCGCACGCGCTCGTCTATGGATTCTAACCTAATTTTATAGTTTTGTGAATTGCATATTTAAATAAATTTGTTTATTTCATATTTAAATTAGTGTTTTGTTGTGCTTTGTTGTTGAGAGTTACTGTGTGTGTAATGCGACGGATCAAATATGTTTTCGAAGAATATGTAAGTGGATTCTTAGTAACAAAAGCATGGTTTTGTAGAACTACTAACATATAATTTTGTAAGTAAATCGTTTACACAAGTAATTACTAATATATAGTATTTTTATTAGAGTAAATTTTGCTCAAGTGTTATTTGATTCAAGTACTTAACCGTTTTGTATGATATATTAACCTCATTATATATGTGGCATAATGCAAAAAACTTTTACTTTCATCAAAATATCGCGAAAACGTCCCAATTACGTCACGAATGAAATCACATATTTCATTTTTGATTCAATGATCAATATATTATGCAAATATTATTCAATATATTACGAATGAAAATATAGGCGAATGAATGGATATAAATAGCATTCATTTTATTCAGTTAAAGTGATTGACGAATATACTCGTCATGAGGAAGTAGCTGAATTTTATATATTGATGAGTATATTCGTGTCATGCGTGAAAAAGTGTCTATTTGATATTCTAATTGCGATTTTTGAGTAAAACAAAATATATTGTGAAATTTCAAGAAGTTTTTGTATATTTTGAGGCTATGACTGTATGAAATAAACAGTTTTAAATTGCATTTATACCTTATGGCCAATAAGTTGCATAAAACTTCCAATGGAATGCGGAAATAATATTCTTAATCAATAAGATATTTTATTAGTTTTAGCAATTTTTTACATCAGGAAGTGTAAGGTAAAATGATAAATAGTTTAACTTAATAATTCTACAAATATGTTATTGCTTCATTGTGGAAGTACTGAAAAAAATCAATCATCATTTTTTATTAGCTTTTTTGATTTTTTTATAAGCTACATTTGGCTTATGATTTCTTTTTTGGACTAATAAAACAAAATTTTTGGCCTTTATGATTTTAGAGGAATTTTAGATCATAATTAATGGATGTACAAATGAAAAATTCAATCAAAATCTAATCCATAAATATTTATTTAAATTTTCTTAAATTTTTAATTCAATATTTATTACAATTTCTATTCATTAATGAAATATTAAAAGAAAATTATACTAGTTTCATTAATCTGAAAATTTTGGTTTCAATTTTATTATCATTTATATTTAGTCAACTTAACGTTTAATTAATATTCCATTAACTTATTAATTAATAATCGTCTTAATTTGAAATTTTTTCTGTGAATGTTTTAATGACTGCTAATAATTCTAATAAGATTCCAATCTAAATTGTACTTCTTAAATATTCCACAATATATTACAAATCGGTTTGCTAAGTTCTAAGGTTATTTGTACGAAGCTATATGTATATACAAAATATTGCAAAAAATCTATTTTAATTTAACTACGATTCATGTTCAAAACTATTAGGATTAAATAATTAATTTATTAATGGAGTATTATAACAATTTGTTCTGGATTTTTTTTTTCTTCTATTCCAGTCACATTTTTGGAACATTATAATGTATAATTGTGTATTAAATCATATAATCCCAGAAAATGGCAATATAACTAAAAGAAATTTATTTTAATTTATGTTTCTCTATACTAAAATTTTGTCTGATAATAATGCTAGTAAGGTTCAAACGCGTTCATTAACTTCTTTTTAAATGCTTCTGTTTGAATGTTAATTTTTTAGAACAATACAACATATATTAGACAAGGGCTTTACCTTTTTTAAAACAAAACGATATTAATTTTATTGTATTTTCAATACTTAGATTAACATTTCTATATTCTCATTATTAATTTATTTATTATCATTTATATCAAACATTTAAATAAAATTTATCATTTCACATAAAATATTATACATAATATTTTTTAAAAATAGCACAATCAATGTTATGAAAACTAAAACTAAATTGAAGCTAAATCCAAACTTATTAGTACTTCATTTCGAAATATGTAAAGTGCAAACTTTTAATTAAAATCATTAAAATAAAAATTTACATCTAATAAGTCGTTGATTAAAATTAATAATTAGAACGCAATTTAACACTACTTCTCGATATATGATTAATTGTTTATTTTGACCTTATCAGCAAGTAGCAACAATGTGTAGTGGAATTATTAAGTATTATATTAATTATAAAATATAAATAATTGAGCACATGTATCGGTTTTGGGATTATGATTCAATATATTAATTAGCACATCAAGTAATTGTTTGTGCAAGCACTCAGTCATAATTGAGAGAAAAAAAAACATTTGGAAAATATATTGTTTATAAGTTTATAATAATTTTAGATTGCTTATACAATTGCATTAATGCTAATAATAAATTTTATCCTCTATAGCTATGTTTATAAATGCAATTTTATATATTTTTTGTTTCATGTTTTTTAGAAATTTTAATTATATTTTTTTACATTATTATAAATATAAATGAAAAAATCCTTTAATACCTGTATATGGTAGCAAATTTATAAAAAAAATTACATATTAGTTATATTCATTATAAGTCTGTTTTATTCAATACTTATAGCCAGACTCTTCTGGATTTTGATATATTTATAATAATTGCACATATATAAATTTTTTAAATTTTGCTTAAATAAAATAGTTACGAAACTTTCTAAAAAAAATTATTTATCAGTCATATTGACTAGAAGTTTTAACTTCTAGTCAATATGCTTAAACTAGCTTAAACTAAACTTTACTAAGGATGCCTTATTTAAAGTTACTTAATATATTTGTTTAACGTTGTTCTCTAAACTTGCATATTCTTATATTATCTTAATTTCTAATTTTTATATATTTTACACTAATTTTTTTATATATCGTATTCTATCCAATTCACTTAATAAGATTAAAACTTTACTTCTTAAAATCAATTTTTTATATGACAATTCAAATATTCAAATTTTGCAAAATTCAATCTGTTGTCCTACTTTTAAAATTATTATTAGTTCTATTATTTTGCATAATAATAAACAATAGAAATTAAATTATTTCATCAACTTCCCGAAAAAGGATTTTAATCAGATATTTTTAAAAATCTTTCGGAATCGTTCGACAATATTTCTTGAACTGATAACTCTATTTATTCGACACCTTGTCGATATAATTTATGTAAACAAACTTATTCTGCGAATAAAATCATCGGTTGGGTTTCCTATCGCAAAAGTGAAATTGAAACCTTTGAGAATTATTATCGTGCAAACAAAATATTAAAAGATATTGGGTGTATCATATATTTTTAAAAAATTGATAATGAACAGCCACACACAAACATACTTTGTCATTCAATTCAGAATGGCTTTAAATGTCGAGCAATTATAAAACTAGCAAGTCGGAATTATTTTTAGTGAACTTTTATTTCGGGATGTTAAAAAATATATTATCGCAAAAACCTTATAGGTATATAATTTTCTTTTTTTTCAGTCGGCTGAAGATGAAGAAACCTGGAAATGCCATCGATGGTGGACAAAAATCACAGTCGAACCAACAATGTTCTTGTACATGATGGCATTCATGACGACTTCTGTCGTCGAACAGGCATTTTTTGTTCACAAATCCTGCACAGTAAATCATAAATATAACGAAACTATTTGTAGAAACCTTTCTCAGTATAAAGACATCAACACCAAAGTACAAGTAAGTAGAAATAGTCATAGTCCTAGAAGTAGAAATTACCTTAGTATCGATGTGCAAATTGTTTATTCATGTATGAAATTTAGGTCAGAAAATTAAATAACTTTGTGCATATGATTTAATATTTTTTTTATAATTATATTCAAATCTGATAAAGAAGTTACAGAATGTTTAAGATAGTTTATCCAAGAAATCGGGTCGTCATTGTCGAAGAAAGTGCAGTAGAAAGCACTTAAATTTATGAAAGTGTTTTGGAATATTCATGATGCATGTGAACACGAATATGGGAAACCTATTATTAAATTTTCATTGTTTTAATAATTATGTGAAGGATTTGCTAATTTTGCACATGAATGTGTTACTTTATTTATACTTTTGCAAAGTGAAATAAAATTAACTATAAATCGTTACTAGTTAATTTTAGTATCCAATTGTAAGTGTAAATGTTACAGATTTTAGTAAATTTTATCTAGTTTTTACTAATGTACATAAATTATAATGTCCGAAATGAAAATTAAAAGTTGTTTAATGAATTGCAAAAAAATGAACTAAATTCAATATAATATTAAAGTCTGTATTCCAACAACGAATCGTTCAAAATTTTATTATACAAGTATGTACAACAGTTTTTACTAGATTTTAGTAAATTTTATTCAGAGTTTACTAATATCAATAAATTATAATGACCGCAGAGAAAATTGAAAGTGATTTGAAGAAAACTAAAAAATGTTCTAAAATTTTCAATCTTACTTTTGTCATAAATTTCTATTAAATATATATATATATATATATATATATATTACTAATTTTGATACAGTTAAAAATTATTATGCTGATTATATTATTACTAATAATTATGAAATAAGTAATTTTTGTGGAGATAGGTACGGAAATCCCTTAAATTATTTTATTATTTTTATGAATTACTTTCATTACTTTTATATTTTATATTGAATTTCTGTATGATTTGTTAATTTTATACATCAACGGTTGTATTTGTTAATGAATTTATTTCTTTTTTGCAAAATTTGAGATTTTTGAGTCTTTATACTTATTTGATAAAATAAAAATTGTTTTACCTTAATTAAAAATTAGTATACCAGTTATTATATGATTGCAAGAATTGTTTTTCAAGATTTTTTTTGTTGAGAATATTGAATTTGTTTGAAAATGTTAAAAAGTTTTGAAAATTTGATTTTATATTTTTAATTTTTAATATCATAAGTTTATGAAAGAAAAATTTAATTTTGATATTTTGAAAGATCCTTTAAAATGTTGATTTTTTTGACAAATTCCGAAACTGACTTTTTTTGAAATTTTGATTTTTTTTTTCAGTTTCAAATTTTCCAAGTGAAATGCCATTTTTTGCACTCTTTGTCTCGAAACGACCGGACCTGCCTTCGCCAAAAACTAATCAGCACGTCTCCTTATTAATAGGAATCAAATGTTCTTTGAATCATTCAAATCGGTTGTTGATTCATGCTCTCGAAATCGCCGACGAAAAATTGTATCCGCACACACACCCACATACCTACATACATGCATGCATTTTTTATAATGTATGCCAAAATGTTTAGAAATCTCTGAAACGAAAAAGATATATAATCATTTTCATTTTCGATTTTTTTGCGTTTACTTTAACTTGCTCTACGGGAAGTTAAAAAATAATTATTAATTTTGATTAATGATTTTAGTAATTTTTTTTTCAGATTACTGTATCAGATTTCCATCAATGGAACAATATAGCAGGACATATTGTTCCAATAATTCTATCATTATTTTTGGGAGCCTGGAGCGACAGGAGAGGCCGAAAAATTCCTTTAATTATGGGACTTGTTGGAAAACTTTATTACTCTATAATGGTCATTGTTAATGCAAGGCAAGGTATCCAATAAGATAGAAAAAAAAATTAACTTATTAAAACATTATTTAAGGATTTACTATTTACTGAACCAATAGTAAATACAGAATACAATGAAATATTCGAGAAATTTTAAACGTTTTCAAATATATTATAACAAATACTGTAACTTTAATTATTTTGCTATCTTATTGTTATATCCGAGCGAATCGAATGTCAATCATTAATCAATTAATTTCCAGAACATTAACAATCGTCATTTCATTTCTAATTCAATTAAAAAAAAAATAGTTGCCTAATTTACACAAAATTGAAAATTACTCCATTATGGTCATTGTTAATGCAAGGCAAGGTATCCAATATGATAGAAAGATATATTAACTTATTAAAATATTGTTAGGGATTTAGTATTTACTGAACCAATAGTAAATACAGATAACTATTTGAAAGAACGGTGAAATACCGGCAATAATTTTATTTTAAAAACCAGTGAGAAATTTCAAACGTTTTCAAATATATTATTACAAATACTGTAACTTTCATTATTTTTGCTATCTTGTTATACCTGAGTAAAAATCATAAATCAAATGTAAATCATAAATCAATTTATCTCCAGAACATTAACAATCGTCATTTCATTTCGAATTCAATTTAAAATAAATAAATAGTTGCTTAATTTACACAAAATTGAAAAAGTGCTCCCGTATAGTCACAGTCTAAACGCATTTGCAAATAATTCTGTGCGACATTTTCACTTATACTGTGCTTAGCATGGCGGCATTTTCACATTTTTCAATAATTTTCACAAAATTGTAAAAGTGTTCCAATACATAAACAGTCTAAACGCACTTGGGTAAACATTTGTACCAGAGTGGCACTTAGACTGTGCTGAGCCTGGGTCATTTTTTTCATTTTTTTTATCCAAAATTACAAAAATATTTTATGAAAAAAAAAATTAGAAACAATTTTTTTTCCCAAAGGCAATAGTTTTGTCAATACAAACAGAAAGTTCTTTGAATCATTTAAATCGGACGCTTAGTTCAGTCAAATTCTGCCATTTTTTTAACATTTAGCTCTGTATCTCCGAAACCGCTGGGCCTACCTTTGCCAAAAACTAATAACCACTTTTCCATGTCATTACGAATTGAATGTTTTTTGGATCATACAAATCGGATGATCCGCTCAAAAGCTCGAAAATTTCTATTTTCTACGCTATTTGCTCCATAGCTCCGTAACTGCTGGACCTGCCTTTGCCAAAAACTAATCAGCTCATTTCCCTATCAAATGGAATCGGATATTTTTGAATTATTCAAATCGGTTGATCCGTGCGCCCGATAACGTGATTGGAAATTTGTATCCATACATACATACACACACACATCCATTTTTTCTGAAGTATGCCAAAATGTTCAGAAACCTTCAAAACGTTGAGAAATGTAAAAATTTTCAATTTCGATTTTTGGACGATTACTCTAACTTGTCCTACGGGAAGTTAAAAATGCCATACAGATAAAAATTAAAAAAAAACGATAAAATACCAGTATTAATTTTAAGCAATTTTAATTTTAAAAAAGTAAACGTATTTGAAATTACTTATACAAATATAAAAATAAGCCTAGAAAATAAATAAAAACCTAGTAGTAAAATATAAAACTTATACAAATATCTACAAAACTAAAAATTTATTTCTAATTATTATAGATATTATTTCGACATTTGTTTATACAATAGAACGATATTGAAATTTTGAATTTTTTGAAAAATTCCGAAACTGACTTTTTTTTAAGTTTTGATTTTTTTAAATTTTTTACATTTTTTGGTATTCTGAAGGAAAATCGTATTTGTTTGTAATATTTCAAAAATGTTTAACGATAGAGGAAACAATAATGTTCAGCCTATCGAAAGAGTATACTTACTGTATTCAAATTGGAATTTTTTTTCGTCATCAACAAAATCGTAGACTCGACCAAGAAATGAGATTATTCCAATTAAATTCAAATTTTGCAATTTTTTTTAGATACCTGGCCTTTAGAATATGTCATTTACACTGCAACGATCCCATCAGCTCTAACTGGAGCAGACGTTGCAATTTTTGGAGCAGCCTTCAGTTACATGTCTGATGTCACAACACCAAAAGATCGAACACTGAGAATATCGATTTTGGATGTTTGCTATCTCAGCACGATGCCCACTGGTGTTGCTTTAGGTAATAAATGAAAATTATTTATGCCAAGATCTGTAGATTAAAATTAGGGAATGCAATACCGATAGAAAATTTCAATAGCGGTATTTCGGTAATTTTTCATTTTAAAACCGGAATACCGGTAAATTACCGGTATCTTTATTATCTCAAACAAACGTAAACAAAATTGAAAGTTACTAGTACAAATATAAAAAAATGTATATACAACTACAACTATATTCGACTAAACAATAAAATTAAACAATTAGTTTATTTTTTTAAATAATAATTTAACAAAACTATATGCAATTTAATTAATTCATTATCACTATCGAGTATATTGAGTACTTTTCACCAAAAACAAACTTATGAGTAAGAAAGACCAAAAACTCATAAAAGATCATATTACATTATTATAATAAACTGTATGTGTTAAATTAGCATAATCTCCAATATTTAAAAAAAAATATTTTTCTACACTAATTTAAGATCGGATATTTTGTCGCGATGAATAATAAGTTACTATAATTGTTGAGTATTGTTATTTAAAACAATGTGATGGTTTTATAGTATTTTCAAACTTCGAAACGTTTTCGAAAAATAATATTTTATAATTGTAATAAGAAGCAAAAATATTTAGTAATTATCACAATTATTATGTATAAAGTTAAAAAAAAATAAAGATTACGCAGATGTAATCTGTACGATATAAAATATTTTGGCGCAAATATCACTTAAAAAACCGTTACATTTTTACAAAAGATGAAACAAACATCATTATCTATCAGTTCAATTCTATTTATTGTAACACGATATGAAGCCCTTTGGAAAGCAATGAATATTCAGTTTAATGACGAGTTGAGATAATATTTGACATTTGTTTATCTTATAGAATCGCTTGAAGATATAGCTGTTTATGTGATTGTGAAATTTAAAGATAAATTTGTTCCGAAAAATTTAAACTTTAGGGTATTATGTATCAAATAGCGCTTATGTTAAAATACCGAAAATACCGGTATTTTTGGAATAAATACCGGTAAAAATACCACCGAAAAATCGGGCGGTTTACCGGTAATTCAGTATACCGGTATACCGGTAATTAAAATATATTTGTTTTTTTTTTGTGCAGGTTCATTCTTATTCAACGAAGTCACAAATCGTGCCTACGACATCATGTTTGCAATAAACGCTTCGATGTTAGCACTTGCTGTGATATATTCGATTTTACGTCTCGAATGGCAGACTACATCGACACAGAGGCCTCTGCGAGAAGCTAATAATGTGATAACAGATTTCTTCGATAAGTAAGTAAATAAATACAACTTGATTTTAATTTTAAAATTACAAATATTATATATATTTTTAGAGAGCATGTCAAAGCATCCATCGGTACTCTGACAAAGAAACGTCCCCATCATCGAAGGTTGTACTTGTGGTTGTTTATGATTACCATGGCTTTATATACATTCCAAAGAGGTAAATAATGATATTACTCAATATTTTATGAAGTTTAGTTTATATCGTGGTTTTTTTCAGATGAGAAACCAATGACTTATCTATACGTTAGCAAGATGTTCAATTGGGATGTTGCGACTTACAGCAATTTCAAAACTGTTCAATCGGCTTTGTATGTTATTACAATGTTAATAGGGATACCTATTATGAGTCATGTTCTTGGATGGAAAGATACAGTAAGTTATATATATATATATATATATATATATATATACTAGTTGGCCCGGCAAGCGTTGTTTTACCAGGAAATTCCTGGAGTAGCAAAAAAGTCACTAACTTATTGTAAGGATGTGGTTATGCGTGAGAATTAACATTGAAAGAATATGAAAATAGTAAAATCCCAAATATGATTTTTTTTTAAATTATGTATATAATTATTACATTAACAGGAGCACATTATGCATAATTTTCCGTATCGAAATCGTGGTGTTTTTTTTCGCATTATAAATAATCATGATTAAGAAAATTGGTTTAAAAACTAGTGATGCATGTCATCGTTTTTTTTGTGAAGCTCAGAAGAGAAAAATTACATGTCTTTTGATAATTTTGAATTTTTTCGAACATTTTTGAAAACCTTTGAAACAAATTGAATCAAAGCGTCTTTTTAGACTATAATGATTTTTTTTGAAAAAATCTGAAAATACTGAAAATTATTTTAATTTTTTGTTTTTGAAAATTTTTAATTTTCTCGAAAGTTTTTTGATACCCATTCATATCGTTTAATCCAGACCATGGCAATTGTTTGTTTTCTGAAACCGCTAGATCTATCTTAGAAACATTTAATCAATTCTTCAATTCGTCAATACAAGTAAAATGTTTTTTGACTCATACATTCATTTTGACTCATATTTTTGAATCATTCAAATCGGACGCTCCGGTATCTTAAAAACTGAATTTTTATAAGCCCCAGGTTGGAAATTTAGGGCTGTTTTCTAAATATGAATTGTGAAAAATAGCATGAATAAAATTGGCAAATTGCTAGAACTTCTCGTACCATAATTATGAATTTTTAAAAGCTCAGAACAGATTAGATTTTTTTGAGAATTATATAACCAATAAATTGGAAAAATTTTAATATCATTGGATAAATTTTAGTATCATTGGATAAATTTTAATATCGTTGGATAAATTTTAGTATTGAAAAAGTTTAAAAAATCTTTTTGAAAATTATGAAATTGTTTGAAATTTTTTCAGTTCCTTTTTTTTATTTTTGAAAGTTCTTTAAAGTTGTTGATATTCATTCATGTCAGTTAATATAATTTTCTGGATCTCCGAAACCGCTGGGCCTGCTTTCGCAAACATTCAATCAATTCTTCATTAAGTCAAGACGAGTTAAATGTTTTTTGAATCATTCAAATCGGATGCTGCGTAATCTGAAAAGCTTTTCCGGTAACGGAACATTTTTTTTATTTTCTGCACTCTTTGCTTCGTATCTCCAAAACGGCTGGACCAACTTCTGCCAAAAACTTTTTAAATAATTCAAATCGGTTAATCCGTGTTCCTGAAATCGTGGACGAAAAATTGTATCTATACATACGCACGTCTATTTTAATAAAGTATGCCAAAGTGTTCAGAAACCTCTGAAACATAAAAAAAATATTTTTGATTTTTGGACGATTACTACCTATAACTTAACCTACTGGAAGATAAAAAAAATCTTTGTAGTACTATGAGAGACTTCACTTAGCGTCTGAAAAATAGGCATTAGCCAATTTGTAGTCTAGAATATGAATATTAAATTTCATATAAATTTTGTCAAGCCGTTTAGGAATGTGATCAATAACATCATGACACGTAAATGTTATATATATATATATATATATATATATATATATACATATATCTAACTGATATTAATGATATTATTTATTGTTGCAGATTATAATAATGATTGGTGCTTCAGGACATGCCTTAGCTCGTTTGGTTTTTGGTCTAACCGATATCGCTAACTTATTCTACCTGGGTAAATAAAATTAATATACAAATTTATATTCATTTGCAATAATATAATTCATATTTTTTTGAAATTGTTTGCAACATATTAATTGTAAAATCGAACGCACTGCGAATTGTACTTAAAAACTGAGATTCTTATTGCGCGATATGGAATACTTTAAATTTTGCACTTACCGCGTTGTAGAAGGGTTCACTGTGCAATATTAATTACAATATACAATCTAATTATAATAATTACATTCCACCTATTTTTAACTTCCCGTAGGGTAAGTTATAGTAATCGCAAAAAAATCGAAAATGAAAATTTTTATATATCTTTACGTTTCAGAGGTTTCTGAACATTTTGGCATACCTTAGAAAAAATGGATGTATGTGTGTGTGTGTGTGTGTGTGTGTGTGTGTATGTATGTATGTATGTATGTATGTGTGTGTATGTATGTGCGGATACAAATTTTCGTCGACGATTTCGGGAACACGGATCAACCGATTTGAATATTTCAAAAAACATTCGATTCGTATTGATAAGGAGACGTGCTGATTAGTTTTTGGCGAAGGCAGGTCTAGCCGTTCCGAAGATACGGGGCAAAAAGTGCCGAAAACGGTAACTCAGTTTTTAAGAGAACGGAGCGTCCGATTTTAATAATTCAAAAAACATTTTACTTGTATCGACAAGATGAAGAAGTGATCAAATTTTCATGAAGGCAGGTCTAGCGGTTTCGGAGATATGGAGAAAAAAGTAAAAAATTTAGCCATTTGGCGGTCAAAAAAGAACATTAGACATATGCTCATCAAATTATCAGATATTTTATATAAATTTTAATAATAAATACATATATTATATCATTGTAATGCTACGCGCGCTATCGCATATTGATATTTTTGTCTCTAGAACAGGTACGAAGCGCGGTCGCGCTGTCATTTTAGAACGTGTTTGTTGGAGCCGAGGGTGTAAAAAATGATCATGATGGAAAGAAATTATTAGTTTTCGGGGAAGACAGGTTTTGGAAAAAAAATGCTTTTATATTTTCAAATTTTTCATTCAAAAAAAACAAAAACTTCAATATATTTCCAAAGTAAAATTTTTTTTTTATAATAAATTTAAAAAAATTTTTCGAAATATTTTAAAAAAAATGATGAATTTTAAAACATATGAAAAAAATTCCAGTTTTTAGTTTCGAATTTTTTTTATTTTTATTAATTATTAAATATTTACGCACTATTCACCGTAAACGCACATAAATATAATATTAGGCGATGAATAAAGTACAGTATTCATTATTATTATTTAAATTGCTTTATTAGATGTAATAATAGTGTTCAGGCCAATTTTTTGAAAAAAAGGATTAATATTGCATTCAACGCGCTAATCCTTTTATTACCTGATGCCTTAATGTGAAATTCATACAAATGTTATTAATCTGGTTATTTTATAGTTCGAAGCAAGAAAAATATTTAATATATCATTTCAAATAAATATATAAAAATAATAATATGCAAGCAAACTTTCCGATATTTAATTAATCTTCGAAATGAAAATGACGATGTCACGTATTATTTGATTATATTTTACTGTTTTGATTATATTATATTGACCACCATTCATTTTACATGCATTTATATGGAATAAATGAGTTTTTGGTGTCTTATATATTAACGATTATTAGTAGTAAATATTTATAGTTTTGATTTTTTCTTTTTCTTACATGTGTTGAGCTTATAAGCATGTGTTGAGCTTGCTTATAATAAAAATATTGCATATTATATTATATAAAAAAATCAAGAAATATAAAAAAATCGTTGCTTTTTTTGTTAATTTTTAACTTCCCGTAGGGCAAGTTATAGTAATCGCAAAAAAATCGAAAATGAAAATTTTTATATATCTTTACGTTTCAGAGGTTTGTGAACATTTTGGCATACCTTAGAAAAAATGGATGTATGTGTGTGTGTGTGTGTGTGTGTGTGTATGTGTGTGTGTATGTATGTATGTGTGTGTATGTATGTGCGGATACAAATTTTCGTCGACGATTTCGGGAACACGGATCAACCGATTTGAATAATTCAAAAAACATTCGATCCGTATTGATAAGGAGACGTGCTGATTAGTTTTTGGCAAAGGCAGGTCAAGCCGTTCCGAAGATACGGGGCAAAAAGTTCCGAAAACGGTAACTCAGTTTTTAAGAGAACGGAGCGTCCGATTTTAATAATTCAAAAAACATTTTATTTGTATTGACAAGATGAAAAATCGATACAACTTTCATGAAGGTAGGTCCAGCGGTTTCGGAGATATAAAGGAAAAAGTAAAAAAAAGAGCCATTTGGCGGTCAAAAATGATCATTAGACATATGCACATCAAATTATCAGACATTTTATAGAGATTTTAACAATAAGTATACATTTTGTTAACATTCCTATCGGTTCCGTACCAATGCTTATGCGTTAGACAGCGACGCGGCGCTTACGCGCTTTATATTTTGTCCCTATGTAGTTAAAGCAGTACGAATGCTTTGAAAAAAAAGTTCAGATCTTCCACAATATGTCAAAATAAAGAAAAAAAAAAATTTTTCAAAAAAAAAAAATTACTACTACAAAACTATTTTTTTGTCCAATTTATAGTTTCTCAAAAATCTAATTTTTTCAAAGTAATTTTTTTTCAAAAATGTTAATTGTTTTAAAAAAAAATAATAATTTTTGGTACGGGAAGTTCCAGCAATTTGCCCTAATGGCACGATGCCCTAATTGCCTTAAGACAGAATTCCACTTACAGCTAGTTTTTTTTTAATTTTTAGGTGCTGTTATTGCAGCAATCGGCCCAGTAGTCGCCCCGGTACTAAGATCGATGACGTCAAAAGTTGTACCGATTTCTGAAAGGGGTAAAATTCTTTTCACCAATCAATTTTGGACGTACTCATATAAATCGTATTTTTTTTAGGAAAAGTCTTCTCCTGGTTATCTGTATTCGACAATGCAGTACCATTATTTTCCGGCGTACTTTACACCCAGGTGTACAATGCTTCGATAAACACTCATCCTGCTGGAATATTTTGGTTAACAATGAGCACACAAATTGTGGTATTCATTCTAATACTGTAAGTAATAAACAAAAAATATTTTAAATATATACCTACCAAAATTAATATAGTGAGAAAAATATCACAACATTATGAACAAACTAGCAAACCCAACGAACTCCGTTTCGCCACCAGATGGTTTCGTGAGAAAGATGAAGAAACTTTTTGTTTGTTTTATATTTGAAAAGGAAAAATTTGATTTTATTATACAACAGTAATGAATTTATTTCGATTACAAAAATTAAGTGTTTTTTAGTTGAACTTCTCTAAATAAATGAAAGTGAATCCGCAAATTATCCGTTTCATTGAAGTGCTCTTTTGTAAACCACATTTTTTGTTTTTTGGTCCGACGTTAACACAAACAAAGCGGATGGTTTTCCAACTCGTGAAAAGGCAACGTATAACTGCCCATGTAAAAAACAATGATTTTCTAAATAATCTATTTGAAATTTATCTCGCAAACACTAAGCGATTGGCCTTGCGGCTTGTTATTGCGAACGCAACGCGAACTGGAAATTGCAATCGTTTGAAGTCAAACGGAAGACCAGTCGGAATCATTGGTATGTCACCAAATCGCCAGCAATTGTTGATTGAATGGTGAAATTCAGTGCGTGTACATCATTATTCTTTGCGTCAAGAATTGCTCGTTGACTTAACCAAGCATAATTCTGATAATTCTCACTAATGTCATTATTCGATATTTTAATTACGGTGCGTGAAGTTCCAGCAATTTGCATTGGGGCACGATGCCATACACCACTAAATTTTCTTAGCTATAAACCTTGCGGAGCCCGAGACCTTTCCAACGAATGCAAAATTGTCGAAATCGGTTCGTGCGTTCTGGAGTTATTTCGTCAGGAAGGAAAACCCGACTTATTTATATATATATATATATATAGAAGATATCTAACTCGTACAATTGTATTAAATCACATTTTAATTAACACTTTCAGAATTTTCTTGAATAATTATTATATTGATATTATTATTATGTGTCTTTTATTTTCAGGTGTGTTCATTTAATATTAGGAAATAAGCCTCTTCTAGTTGAAGAAGAAAAAAGCGAAGAAGCCATTATTCAGAGGGCCGATGAGACCTCAAACGAAAAGACTGATTCAATAAGTTAGTTCGATTGTTATTATGTTTTGGGTTAACTATCTTCTTTCTGAATAGTATTAAGAATTTCCATTGATGTATGTGATTCTTCTAATTTTATTTTATTAAGCCTAATTTGATCTAGTTTTAATAATAAATTTTTATATATTTATTTTATTTTTTGGTTTTAGCTGTGGATGTTTGGATTGCTTTATTTTTTTGTTTTTGTTATCTAGGTTGCATCTTTGATGTTGTATACTATAATATGTTTTACTTTTTTTTAATATAGCTCGAGTCTTTTCAAGTGCCTCGGATATATTTTGTCTGATAATTATAAATTACATAATGTGATACTGCTAAATAGAATTATTTAATTGATGTTTACAAATCAAAGGCTGGAGGAATTTCAGAATCGGAAATAATTTAAACGTAAGCCATTTCTTGAGTTTATATTTTTTTTAATAGTAAGCCTATTGTAGCAAGAATTTGATGCTGATATTTTTCTGCTTACAAATGTTTATTTAAATTACTTTTTGACAATCGATTAGGTATATTAAAATTGTAGATTTAGTTTATTAGTTTTAATTTCAAACTTTCTTCACTCGTACCGATTCAATAGAGTGAGTTTTATAGATTTTTTTTGATAAATACGAAGAATTAATGAATAAATACAATTTTCCAAAGTTTTTGCACAAACTTAAAAAATATCAAGTGGATGTAACAAATAACAACTGTAAATTTCATAACAGTTTCATCATTATTCTTAGGTAACAATAAAGTAATAATTTTACAAGTGCGGTTGTAATTTTTGAAATCATCATTTTAATTTAGTGATATTGATTACTAAATTTTATTAATGTGTGTATTTTAATTTAGTGATATTTTATTAATTATGTTCAACTTGGGAATTGACAATTAAAGAAAATTTGATCTCGCCATAAATTATATTTGTAGTTTTTTAGTAATAAGTACGAATAAGGTGGCCAAGTGGTACGACTAAGGCGACTAGGTGGTACGACTTAGGCGACTAGGCACCTTTTTGAAAAAAACGTAAAATTACGTAATTTATTAAAAAAAACTCTAGTTCTTAGTAATTGTTAATCTTGGGCCAACTTAATGAAGATTCAATAAAAGTCAAAGATTTTCATTTAATTTATTTGCGCAAAATAGTATGGCAATATTTCCTCAAGGGGTACGATTTAAGCAACCCTGAATTGATGATTTTTTTTTTCAGAGCATCGTCAATATTTATATATTCGAAATAAAATCGAGTATTTATGATCTATTAATTTTAATTTTAATAATATAATTTACATAATGTGACTAAAAGTTAAAAATATATCGTGTGAATTTAAAAATTTATATTGAAATTTAAATGGCAATTTGGCCATTTTTATTGATTTTTTTGACTCAAGTTATTCCGTTTGACTCAAATTTAAGAGCATATTACCTTATTAAAACTACGGTTGTTAATGGAATTCTAAATATATTAGGTTGTCAAATATCTCCCTTCCGCTTTTTTGCTCTTGGTTTATAATACAAAAAGGCGGAAGGGAGATATTTGACAACCTATTATATTTAACATCCACGTGCTGAATTTTATATTTTTACGAATAATCCTTATTTCTGATTTTGTTTGGTACCAAATTAGGAAGAAGTATGTGTGGTTTTGTATGTAATCCTATATTTGACCTTTCGTCTACATTTTCTCAAAAACCGCTGGACCAATTTCAAATAATTAAAAACCATACGTTCAAATTATTTATACGTTTCAGGAAGTTTATGCAACTTGTTTCAGGGCAAAAAAATGCTTCTAACAAATGTTTTCATTTTTATATTCAGTATCTAACAATTTAATTAGTTACCTACGAAACAGCAACATACATATATTCACAACAAATTGACTGAAGAGTAAATTAATTCTCTAGCGCTATCTTTAAACATTATTTTTATCAATGGATTAATTGTATATTTAAATGTATCATAAAAAATCGTCTTCTTTATCAGTGACGTAAGAATTGGGCACGCACATTTTGGCACGTACGCATTATTATCATGATTATTAGTAAATGTAATAAATCATTATTTAAATCTTCATAAACAGAGCCGTTTTTGTAAGTTTTTGTTAATCAGAAAAAGTATCTACGTAAAATACTTAAGCATTTTAATAAATTGAAATGAAAAATTCGATAAAATCGAATGAAAAAATTTTTTTGAGCATTTCTGCAACGAATTAAAATTAAATATGTATATCACAATTAAAAAGGTAAAACTAGGACTATAACTTTTAAGAACATGCAGTTAGTTTTGATTGCTATTAAAAACTTAACTATAAAGATAGTTTATAATTTATTACGCGATCGTTATTGTAGTGTAAACAAAAAAATTTGATTTTTTTTCCAACTTTAAAAAAAAAATTAATACGACTTTGAAATGAGTTAATTTTATTTTTGTGTAATTTTAGTTGACAGTTAATTTATTAAACAAGCCACATCATGCATATAATTTTAATAAAATTCAATACAACCGGATAATTTTGCTATTTAGTAGATTTGGTTTAATTGCGAACGAGAAATCATCTATTACCGAAATAGAATATCTTAAATATATTAGTGTGGTGCTATTTTTTTTTAAATTAAATTAATGTTCGAATATGTGACCAATATTTATATTTCTAGACAATCTATTAAATTTTTGTTATCAGAGATGTGTCTTTGAATTCAGGGATTAAAAAGATAAAAAGATTTTCGGGCATTGATTCCTACGATTTAATTCTTTCTTAGCAACGCGTTCAAACGTGGTGCACGTATTTTATTGTAAAAATGTGAAATCAAATTCAAACTCAAAATATTTTGATATAAAATATCTCTAAATTAATTGTTATGTGGTGCTTTAGTGATTAAATTTACTATTAAAATGACGAAGGACGCAAACCAGAAACAGGTTGTTATGAAATTTACATGTAACAGCTTGTTCGAAAAACTTAAAAATCGATTTGTTTTTGTTTTAATTTGTGAAGTGAACATTTTTTCTGAAATGTTTCCGTTATTTTTGTTATGATTATATTTGCTTGATAATTCGTGCAAATTGTTTATTGGAAATTTTCTTTAATTGCTAACTAAACGGCAAATATAAAATTTCAAATTTACAAAAAATGTTTTCGAGAAAATATTGATGAAAGTTTAAATTTTAGTTCTTAGTTTAAATACAAACATACATTACCTCTCATACATACATCTCAAAATTTTAATATCAAACTTTTTCCAATATCTTGAGACGTCAAAAAAACTTAAACCTTGTAAACTAGAGACAAATTTTGCTCTACAAAATCTTTTATTTATTAAAATGCCTACAAAAACTTTTTATATAACAAACAACAAACTTCTTTTTAAGATTTTTCGGACCTATCATCAATAATATTTACACTCAATAATATTTACACATTATCAATATGAACCGAAACCTCAGTTAGAGCTAAATTTTTAGGCAATTAAGCAAAAATTCCAACAAATTTACAAGATTTTCAAACATTCTACAATATTTTCAGACAATTTCAAATATTTTCAGATAATTTACATTCTCAAGAAATTTAATATTTTCAGCATTTTCAACATTTTCAGACAACCTATGATATTTTCAGTCAATTTAAAATATTTTCTGACAACTTACGACATTTTCAGACAATTTAAACGATTTTCAGTCAATTTAAAATATTCACAGATAAACTAAAATATTTTCTGACTAAAACTTGCTCTATTTCTTTATTTCGTATTTTAAACAATTACTCAATATTATAATATTTTGTTAAATAAATATATATTTATAACAATTACGAAAATGTTTAAAATTTTAAAAAGTAGTCCTTTGACAAAAATTTTCTTCGCAAAGTAAGAAGTAGATTTGTGCTCCACTATGTATATAAGTACACGTCGACTACTTCATTTATTTTATTTAATAAAATAGTTTTTAATTAAGATTATAAAATCAAAACATATTATCTTATGTTACTATAAACAAATAGAAACATCAGATAAAAATTTTATCCGAGCCTTAAAATCAATACCAATTGACCCATGTTGATTTTACCAGATTTCTTAGAAATTTAAAAATAAAAAAAAAATAATTAACATTGTTTATTTTAGGTTTTTAATCAAATACAAGCAAAACAAGTTATAAGTTAAGGACTTAAGATTCATTTAAGATTTACTAATATATATATTTTTTTCTATTTTTTCCAGGATACTGAAAGTGTAGATGTGTCAACATCTCGATTAATCCGATGGTGGTCAAAAGTCACAGTCGAACCAACATTGTTCCTGTACAATTTGGCCTGTATGACAACATCTGTGGTCGAACAGGCATTTTTCGTCCACAAATCCTGCACAGTAAATCACAATTATAACGAAACTATATGCAGTCATTTGCCAGAGTACAAGAAAATCAACACCGAAGTCCAGGTGATAAAAGATAACTAATCAATTTAAGTAGTTTTTAGGTTTTAAAAACCGGTTATTTTGCGAAAATTATGGAATCCGAAAACCGGTCTTTTAGTGATTAAAGTCGGTTTTCACTGTATAAATGGAAAATGACAAATATAGCCAAATGTAAAAGATAGATGAAAGCGTTTTGATTCTTGAAATCATATCGGTCCAATAGCATTTGATATCTTATCACAGTCTGCAATGGTTCCCACAAAGGTTTTGTATATATTAATTTAGATTTTTATACCAGTGTAGATATATTAATTTAAATCAGTGTGACCTCTTCTTGAAGAAGTAACTTCCTCTACTCAAACTTAAAAAAAAGAGTTTTCAATCCTAGAAGCCACAAAATAAAAGAACAAAAAACTTAGAATTATTATATCAGTCTCTAAAAACAATTAAGCATAATTTGGTCGCAAGTATGAGAGTATTTTCTATTTCAGGAAATTTTGTGAGTAAACAGAGGACACGTCTAAGTAGCAATTCGATAGACGTTCTAAGTTTTTTTTAATTATATTGTCTGTCTTAAGGCAATTACGGCATTGTGCCTCAAGGCAAATTTCTGGTACTTCCCGTACCGCAATTCAAAATTCGAGTAATTAAAAATAATAAATAATAATCAATGAAAGTTGATCAATAATTTTAAACTTTCAATAGAATTTCAAACCATATTAAATCATTCATGTGCAAAAACATACCGTGTTGAAATAAGAACGTAACTTCTGAAATTTGTTAAATATTGAAGTATCGGCATTTTATTTTAAGTACAAGTAAAACACAACCATAAAATATATTTTTTATTCATTATACATTGTTATCTATATTTTTTATAATAGACACATATACACACGCACACCATACATATATATATATATATATATATATATATATATATATAGCTAGTATGTATATATATATATATATATATATATATATATATATAGCTAGTATATATATATATACTAGCTGACCCGGCAAACGTTGTTTTGCCTCTGCTCCAACAAACTCATACTAAAATGACAGTTCTTTATCTTGTCAATACAAGTAAAATGTTTTTTGAATAATTCAAATCGGACGCTCCGTTCTCTTGAAAACTGAGTTACCGTTTTTGGCACTTTTTACCCCATATCTTCGGAACGGCTAGACCTGCCTTCGCCAAAAACTAATCAGCACGTCTCCTTATCAATACAAATCGAATGTTTTCTGAATTATTAAAATCGCTTCATCGGTGTTCCCGAAATCGTCGACGAAAATTTGTATCCCAACACACACACACGCACACACACACACACATACATCCATTTTTTTAAGGTATGCCAAAATGTTCAGAAACCTCTGAAACGTAAAGATATATAAAAATTTTCATTTCCGATTTTTTTGCGATTACTACAACTTGCCCTACGGGAAGTTAAAAAACAATTAGAATGTTTAAAATTAATTTATTAAAATTGCTCAGAACAGACGATACCCGAGTTTAGCTTAATTGCTTTTACAACTAAAATTGATATTAACAAGTATGTATCAACATGTATCTTTTAATTTAATGAATATTTTTTATTTAAAAATATATTGTTTTTATTTATTCGAAAACTTTCCTTTCACTGTCATAAAAATTTTCATTCTTATATGTGAAAATGATGCATAAATAACGAATAATTATTTTCAAAGTTATTTAATCAAGATAAACTATTATTTTTTAGTTCTACTAATTAAAATTAAAATAATTTTGTTCACTATCTGTAAAAATGAATAATAAAACATAAACTTCTCCTTCGGGAAGTTAATAAATTCAGTCAAATACTGCTCTAAATTACACTAAATGTGCGTATAAATTACCGAATATTCAAGCAAAAATTTATTTTCTATATAAAATTCGAAAACCGGTTAAAACCGGTTTTTTAGTAAAATTAAAATTCGAAAACCGGTTTTCTGAAATGTCGGTTTTTGTATAAACCCTAGTAGTAAATGACACATATATTTGGTTTTTGGTTTGTAGTTGACTGTATCAGATTTTCACCAATGGAACAACATAGCTGGACATGTTGCTCCAATAATCCTGTCATTATTTTTGGGTGCCTGGAGCGATAAAAGAGGCAGAAAAATACCTTTGATCTTGGGACTTCTTGGAAAGTTGTACTACTCTGTAATGATTATTATTAATGCCACTCAAGGTAATTAGTAAATTCAAAACAACCTCACTTTACCATTTGAAAAGATTCATCTATCTATTTTTGTTAGATTCTTGGCCCCTGGAGTACGTGATTTACACAGCAACTTTGCCATCAGCTCTAACAGGAGGTGATGTGGCGATTTTTGGAGCAGCCTTCAGTTACATGTCTGACGTCACGACGTCCAGAGATCGAACTTTGAGGATTTCGATATTGGATGTTTGCTTTCTCAGCACTATGCCGACTGGTGTGGCTTTAGGTAATAAATTAGATAATAGATCTCGATCAATTATATCGACTTATTTCGAATGGCCATTGACGTATCAGTATTCGTGGCGTAACGCATTTCCGTCAAAAAAATGAAATTTTAATCATTCTTGATTAAAGGAGCGATTTTGCCTCATAAAAGAGCGTTGTCATGGCAACGCTATCTTATGCTTGTTTCTGAATAGAGAACTGTGAATTTGTCTAACTATTTGCTGTACGTATTTTACACATAAACAAGCAAATAAAAATATTATGATAACAGGATTTTCGAATTTATATATATATATATATATATACTAGCTGACCCGGCAAACGTTGTTTTGCTAAGTAAGGTATATTTTAAACAATTTCTAGAGAATCAAAAAAAATTAATACTTTAAGTGTATAAGGATGTGTTGTTTGAATGCTATATACAATGAGGTATTATAAAAACAATAAACCCCACTAGTTTGTCTAAATTTTGTCTGGAAGTTTTATACACTTTCTACAGAAAACATGGTATAATCCAATACAAGTCTTTTTTGGTCTTTCGACTTATTGATTACGTTTCAAGTTTTTCAGATTGTTTTTGGATTCTGATTTTTGTGTATAATTGTAAATAATACTACTGAGCTTATAAAAAATTTTCAAATTTCTGCGAGGATGGATAGAAAATAAATTAAGTATTTCTTTTTTGACCTGCTTTTTGAAAAGTTTCAAGTAATATTCCACGAATTAAAGGAATTTTAATAAAAAGTATATATGTAGAGCAGGGCGAGTCACAAAGGTCCAATATCACTTTGAGCAAATATTAATTATATTTTCAAAATCAAACCAATTATATCACAACAAATAACATATTTCAAACGAACAATTATCTGACTACGTTTAGTAAAACTGTCAGCTACTTCATCATTGTAGAAATGTGCTTTTTTGATGTCTTTCAAAAGTTTGTTATCTAGACTTTTTTACCCTAAAGGCGGGATAACTTGGAGCGGCCAGGTGGAAAACAGGTTTAATGTCTTATTTTAATTTTAAAGGTATTTTACAAAGTAATTACATTTTTAACTAATGCCAAAAAACTACCAACGGAAGAAAATACTTTTATTATGAATTTTCAAAGATTACCGTTTATCTCACGATAGCAAAGTCATGAGAATCAAGGTTATAGCTGGTTATACATCTTTTTCCCTCTACTTTCAAATATTGTTGTTAAACAATGCTTAACTTCACTGGTTTTTGACACATCGGTCGTGAACCTTTTTAACCCCGGACCTTCATATATTACTATCTATTCTTTGATAAATTCCGGGAAATTATAACTGGGAAAATGTTATTCGACAAAATATTCCTTTTACCGATACCAAATTTAGGTTCGGAATTGAAATAACATAAATAAATAATAATATAATCTAGAAAATGTTTTATAAATACCCATGAGTATATAATTATACAAATGAGATCTTTCAGAGCACCGTTTTTGAGAAAAATATGATTTGCAAAGAAGAGTGCTACAACGCAAAAAAATACATTTTCATATTAACATTTCAAAAAAGTTGATATTTTGAATTTCTAGTAACACTTGCGGCCCGTTTAATAACGTTTTTGTGTGTAAATAAAACTACAAACAAAACTACTTACTACAATTTAATCATAATTAAACAATATTCACCCAAATTATCCTATTATAAACGTAATTGAACATCATCTGTCAAAAACATTTGGCATTTGACGTATTAGCCACCGTCCATTGTTTCATTCAAATTACGCTTCTACAAAAATGTTCAAATTAAAAATGTGAAGTTTCTGCGCGATTTTGAAATAATATCTCACCTTTTCGGCAACCTACTGATCAGCACGAATTTTTCAAGACTAAGACTGGCCAAATCGGTTTAGCCGTTTTCGAGTTTTTGCGGATCATTTTATCGAGAGCTCCATTTTTATATATAACATTATTTTTCAGGTTCATATTTATTCAATGATGTAACCAACAGATCGTACTCGATAATGTTTGCAATAAATGCATCAATGTTAATGTTAACTTTGGTGTATTCTTTTTTGAAACTAAATTGGAGAACTACTTCATCACAAAGGCCACTTAGGGAAGCCAAAAATATCATCACCGACTTCTTTAACAAGTAAATATAGAAAACAATTGAAGTATAAATAAAAATAATACATTGCAATCTTTGATGACTCAAAGTGCTTAATTGTAAAAAATTGGAAGAAATTATTATGATAATTTATTTTATATTTTTAGGGAGCATGTAAAAGCTTCTGTAAGTACCTTGACCAAAAAGCGACCTCAACATAGAAGGCTTTATTTATGGCTGTTTATGGTCATAATGGCCTTATATACGTCACAAAGAGGTATGTAAAGATTTACATGTATTACTTATGTAACTTATTATTATTAACCCTTGCCATTGATTTAAAAACAATCTACTAGCAACTCGGTGCCGCATTCTAGCGTAAACTTATCTTAGTATTATTGTATATGCTATGCAATTGGTTTTATATAAATTTAAATGGTTAATTTATAAGTAAATTTTTATTTTCAGATGAAAAACCAATGACTTATCTTTATGTTAGCAAGATGTTCAATTGGGACGTTGCGACTTACAGTAATTTCAAAACTGTTCAATCGGCTTTGTATGTTATTTCGATGTTTGTTGGAATTCCTTTGATGAGCAAAGTTCTCGGTTGGAAAGATACTGTAAGTTAAACTAGAATTATATTTTTAATCAACCTAGAATATTATCAGTTAAATCAGAACCCATCCTTATCAATGCTTGAACCTTTTTAATTAAACTTTAGAATATTTTCAGCTAAACTACAACATTTTTACCTTAACTAGATTGTTTTTTACTAAAGTACTATATGTATATTAATTAAACTAAAATGTTTTTAATTAATCTAGATTGTTTTTGATTGAATTAAAATATTTTCAATTAACCAATTTAAGGTTTGTTATGAATAAATTTTCGACTAATATGAATTTATTAATATTTTTCAGATTATTATTATGATTGGAGCTACTGGACATGCAGTAGCAAGAATCACTTTTGCCATGGCAGAAATTGATAATTTGTTTTACTTAGGTAAGTGTTTTTAGGAAAAATATGAGTTTACAGAAAAATATGAGTTTACAGAAAATAAGGCAAGTTTTTTTTCTGTTTTTGTGTGGTTCAACTATTTTTTTTAGTTAAAAGGTTTTAATAAAAAATTACATAATATCGTGTGGTATAGGAGGTCTAGTAAAATATCACGTGTATTTATTTTTTACTTGAAATTTGTAAAAAATCCAAAAAATTTCAATAGAATTCCAAATTTTTTTAGGTATTTAAAAGCACGGCACGTTGTTAAGGGTTAATTTCAAATATCATCAAGGGTCCAAAATCCTTAAAAATCGATTACGTGATCAAACGTTCTTTAACTTAAAATATTTTCTGAAGGATTGATGGAAAATCACTAATTTTTTCTCTGCTTTCCTCGGCATCTTTTTTTGTTAATAAGCATAAATATTGGTGACCCAAAAGTTTTATTAACTTGTTGGAGGAGAAGTTAAGTTCTTGTTCTTGCCAATGATTTGTTTACTTCATATTCAAAAAGATTTTGAATTTTACCATTTTTTGGTCATTTATGCATACTTTTTTAAAGAAAAATTCCACTTTTAAAAATAAAGTCTATTGAAAATCGAAAATATGTCTATTATTATAAATAGTACGTATTAACCTAATCAAAAAAGCAAAATTATAAAGTCCTCAAAAAGTTCACCAATTTTTCAGTTTTTATTTTCTAATATTATTCAAAATCGGAAACATTTCAGAAAAGAAAAATATTTTTTTAATATTTGAACATTATGTATGTTATTTTTATAGGGGAATATGTTTTTGAGGTATTGGAACCAAAAAATGATGTTAAAAAATATTTCTTTATTCTGAAGTATTATTGAATCTGACAAATATAATAAAAAAAATCTAAAAGAACTGAACAAAATTGGAAATATTTCTGAAGACTTTGAAAAATTGACTCGGCTATATAGTTCTCACACTAAAATCATCGGTCATTTTTTTCTGAATTCTCTAATTTTATCTCTTAATATAAAATTAAAAATAAGTAGGCAATTGTCCTTAAGGCAAGTGCATAAATTCCCTTTCATGTGTAATTGTAAATAATAGATTTTATTAACAAGAATTTAGATTTAGCAACTTTTCCAATCGTGACAATAAAATTTTCAACCGTTTATTTCTAAAATAAGGTTTTGCTTAATCATGAATCATTTTTAATAATAAATAGTGATTTACAATTATGCTTAGTTGCTGCATGTTCTTATAATGTGAGAAACTATTACAGATTATTTAATTTTGTACACATTTGCCTCAGATGATATTTATATTTGACAAATGTAATGATGTATGATAATATTTATTTAACGAAAAAATGCCTAATTATTATTACGAGTATAATTGAAGGAATATTTAGTACACACTCATTGTAAGTTCTAAGAAAAGTCCTTTTATTCGAAACTGTAACGAATTTCATTAACAAAATTGCTACAATATTTTTGAAGCTAAATTGGCAATTCGAATTTTGTTTAAAACATATTTTATTTTATCTGGCAGTTAATAACGTCTTTTAATGGTTAATAAAGCATAATATTATATTCTTGGAATAAAATTAACACTTGGGCTTTTGTCTAACACAAAGATTTTCTTCTGGAAGTTATTTACATATATAATTTGTATATGAAAACTGTTTTTCATAATCTCTCATACCAGGCACCTCTGTCTGAGATATGAAAATAATGTATATATATATATATATATATATATATAAATAAATAAAAAATAAAAAATAAATTATTCACTAAATAAATATATTCTCATTTATATATCTTATTACATACTAGAAGTAAATAAAAAAGTATCGACCAGAAGTGTAAAGAAAAATTTGGCACTTGATTTGAAGTCAAAGACTTGAAAAAAATCCCCATGATCAATGTATCTTATTGGAGAAACTTTCCCAAAGGCCATAAAAAGCCAGCTCTGTAATTTAAATTTAAAGAATTAATTTATATTTTGCTCGACTCTTATTAAATATATGACAAAAAAAATCTCAAATTTTAGGTGCTGTTTTTGCAGCAATTGGTCCAGTAGTCGCCCCAGTACTAAGATCGATGACGTCAAAAGTTGTACCAATTTCAGAAAGGGGTAAAATTCTTTTCACCAATCAATTTTGGACGTACTCATATAAATCGTATTTTTTAGGAAAAGTCTTTTCCTGGTTATCTGTATTCGACAATGCAGTACCATTATTTTCCGGAGTACTTTACACTCAAGTGTACAATGCTTCGATAAACACTCACCCTGCTGCAATTTTTTGGCTTTCGATGAGCACACAAGTAGTAGTTTTTGTTCTAATATTGTAAGTATAAACATAATTTATTAATATACAATTCTTGTATTTATATTTTTTGTCTATTTTTAGGTGCGTGCATATAATTCTCGGAAATCGCTCTCTTCAAGTTGAAGAAGTAACAGCCCAAAAGGCTGATGAGACTTCGAACGCAAAGACTGATCAATAGGATAGAATAAAAATTTTATTTACTTTTAGGTAATTAATATTTTCAGATCATACTATTTTCTTCTATATCTATACTTTAAATTATTGCTGAATGTAATAAATAAAATATATTACTATGTACTTCTGTATCAATTTTATTGATGCATTTTTCTCTCCTCTCTAGGTGGTTTTAAAATTTATGCATTTTTCTCTACTTTCTAGGTGGTTTTAAATTTTAAAACTTTAGTTTTATTTTTTAGAGTATTTTTTTGGTTTTTAGTAATTTTTACTAAGTTTTGTATGTTTTTTTTACATTTTCTGGTTTCTTCTTTCTAATGGTGTTTCTGATAATCTATTTGGAATTTTTTTTCTGGATAATTTATTTACCAACTTTACTATTTTCACAAGGTGTCGTCGTCTATGGTTGCTAACGTCATAATAATTTTTCGTTCAGTTAGTTCCCGCATTTTGCATACGCACATAACAGGCGCGTCGACCCGGGCGCCAATGCACCGACCGGGTCGACAATTTTTGTGTTTGCGATTACGAAAGAATAAGGATAGTTTTGAGTTGCCAAACGTTTTATAGTGGATTTTATGTTTGTCAATCGTATTATAAAACTTTGTTTCATTTTTTTAGACTAACGCTTTGGTTTTTATTTATTTTTATCAAGTTTTATATATTTTTTCTTATTTTTCTTTACACTTCCTGGTTTCTTCTTTCTAATGGTATTTCTAAAAATCAGATTCAGATCTAAAACTGAGATTTGTTCTTTAGATGGTTTATTTACCAACTGTAGTTTTTATCTCTACAAGGTGGCGTTGTCGGTTTAAGGTTCCTTAGCGTCTTAACAATTTTTGGATACCTTGTTTAGTTATTTCTTTAATTTTGCAGGCTCATTTGTAAAAATTTACAAAAATCTAAAACATTAAGAAAACTTGATCGGAATGCATACTACACGAGTAGTTCCCAAAGATCTTATATCATATTTCTTATTATTAGGCGCGTCGACCCGGGCGCCAATGCACCGACCGGGTCGACAAGCTTTGTGTTTGCGATGGCGAAAGAATAATGACAGTTGCCGAAGGTTTTATTTTTTTTCCCTACAAATTATTTTTTTGGTGCATTATTTCCTCTCTTCTAGGTTGTTTTAAATTTTAAAACTTTATTTTTATTTTTTATGGAAATGCTTTGGTTTTTATTTATTTTCGTCAAATATTGTATATTTTTCTTCTTTTAGTTATTTCTTGAATTTCGCAGGCTCATTTGTAAAAATTCACAAAAAACTAAAACATGAAGAAAACTTAATCGGAATGCATACTGCACGGGTAGTTCCCGAAGATCTTATCTCATATTTCTTATTTTTATTACATAACAGGCGCGTCGACCCGGGCGCCAATGCTCCGACCGGGTCGACAAGCTTTCTAAAAATCAGATTCAGATCTAAAACTGAGATTCAGATCTAAAACTGAGATTTGTTCATTATATGGTTTATTTACCAACTTAAGTTTCTATTTATACAAGGTGTCATTGTCGGTCTATGATTGCAAATATCATAATAATTTTTGGATTTTTTGTTTAGTTATTTCTTGAATTTTGCAGGTTCATTTGTAAAAATTTATAAAAAACTAAAACATAAAGAACACTTAATCGGAATGCATACTACATGGGTAGTTCCCGAAGATCTTATCTCATATTTCGTATTATTAGGCGCGTCGACCCGGGCGCCAATGCTCCGACCGGGTCGACAAGCTTTGTATTTGCGATGGCGAAAGAATAATGACAGTTTTATGTTGCCGAAGGTTTTATACTTTTTTCCCTACAAATTATTTTTTTGGTGCATTATTTCCTCTCTTTTGGGTTGTTTGAATTTTTAAGACTTTATTTTTATTTTTTATGGAAATGCTTTGGTTTTTATTTATTTTTGTCAAATATTGTATATTTTTCTTCTTTGTTTTATATACTTTATAGTTTTTTTTCTTGATATGTTTCTGAATCTTTTTTTTTTGTTTTCTTCCTAATGGTGTTTCTAAGAATCTTTCTGGAATTTCTTTTGGCTTGAATAATATTCGATGCATTTTTCAATGGTTCATTTATTAACTTAAGTTCCTATTTATACAAGGTGTCGTTGTCGGTCTATGATAGCAAATATAGTAATAATTTTCGGGTACCTCGTTTAGTTTATTTCTTAAATTTCACAGGCATCACATAACAGGCGCGTCGTTTCGGGCGCCAATGCACCGACCGGGTCGACAATTTTTGTGTTTGCGATTACGAAAGAATTAGAATAATTTTGTTTTATCGAAGGTATTATTCTCGATTCCATTAGTATTTTGGGCTTTTTATCACATTTTTCTTATTTCATAAATATGTTTTTTTATTCAGATTTTGAACCAGAATCTTTAAGCGCCTTGATCTAATTTTACTGAAGCTTGATTCAATTATTTTTATGTAGAAACTTTTTTAAATAATTTGACTGATCTGATTCTTACTGGGTCAATATGATTTTTATATGAAAAAACTTTAAACAAACTTTATAGTCTGATTTCTTGATTTATTAATTTTTATAAGAAAAAGTTTTGATCTGATCTTAGTGCGTATGAATACTTATTAGATTTTTTCAAATGGCTTTCGAATTTTTAAATTTGGCGAGAAAACGTCAAATTTTAGCTCACGTATATACACATGTTATAATTTTGGTATCAAATAATTAGAATTATTTAAACCTAAAAAACAAATACAATTCGTAAAATCTTTTAGCCACTCGACTAATTGTAAGTAAAACTTCTTGATTAAAAAACTAACTCACTTAACAAAAATCTTTTTTCACATATATATTTTATTTTTATTTATATACATCCGTTACACTTTATCATTTATAATGCAATTTAGTTTACATAAAAACTTATTTAAAAATATTGTTTTATTAAGTATTTTAGATACATATAGCATTCAATACACCTACACCGTAATATTTCTTATTTTTCGTGTAAAAATATTTTTCTTTTTTTTATTTAATAATAATTATATGGAGATCAATTGCTATTAAATGCAATTCACGAAAATGATATGATTTATTGCGAAATTATAAAATATATAAAAAATAAATTATACAAGGCCCAATATTTTTAGTTGTCAAAATTTTATTAAAATCGATAAATATTTTTAATTTATGATTAGTATTTTTCAATTTATGGAATTGTTAGTCTTTTGTCTCATGATTTGAATTTGATTTTGATCATGTGGTTATATATTGTAACTAAAATCTAAAATTATTTTAACCGAATGTTTACAATCAACCAAATATTGGTTAATCTAAATCACAAAACTTGCACTTAGTGCAAGTTTACTTTATATTTAAAATTTTTAGAATTAATCTTAAAAATACTTTGCCTAATTTGTAATCAAATATTATTGAAACTTATGTTTTTAATATAATTATAACCGACTCAAAATTTTAACACCGATTTATAAGATAATTTGTATAGAATTCTAAATATTAGAGGTATAAATCTTGTGTATGTATGTATGACATCGAACTGCTCATAAATGGCTAGTTGAATTTTAATAAATCTTTTTGTGTTTGTTCAAGCGGATTCACGGAATGTTTTGAACCAAAAAAAATTAGTCTTCATGTTAGAATACACAAATTTCGACATATAACATTTCAGAACAATCAATTCACATACAAATTGTTTTTAAATTATGTGCTTGATGTGTAACCATTAAAATATTTTTTTTATCCATTAGCTTCCAATAATATTTGATTATTTCTAATATCACGCTTATTTTGATCACACTCCATATTTATTCTCCAACAAGGATAAAGAGTCCCAAAAATTCATTCGACTTGTATAAAATCCTGCAAGGACTTTTAAATCTATTAATCCTTTGCCACCTTTGTGTTTTGTGATGTCCAAATATGTTAAACGTTGTTTTCTGATCGAATTTAGGTTGTCTTTGCTCAAGGCTGGGCTCCAGGCTAGGGAAATGTTTGAAGGAGTTGGATTGCTAAAAAATAATAAAAAAATAAATAATAATAGTTATAGTTGTAAGTAGCATTTAGCGTAAAAAATCAACTCAATTTTGCAGACATCGCATCATAGTCGTGTCGACCCGGGCGCCAATGCAATCGGGTCGACCAATCTCGTGTTTTCGATGCTGAAGGAATGAGGAGTGTTTTGTGTTAATGGAATTTTTATGCTTGTGTTAATGAGGGTTGCAATGACGCTGTTGTATTTTCTAAATATTTTTTGTTTTTTGTAAAAAATTGTGGGTTTAATACAAATAGATTCGAATAGTTTCGATATAAGTTTCATTGTCGATTATTTTATTTTTTCTACAATATGTTTACAAACGTGACAGGTTATGTAATATCTGTGTACGATATAGGATTTATTGTAATTTAAAATGGGAGTCAAAGAGATTAAAATAAATTTACGTTTTCATGATAAAATTTATTGTTTTTGTACCTAAAGGTTTCATTAAAGATTTTATGTTAATCCAAGTACACAACAATGTTCTTCTACACTTTCCATTTTTTTTTTTAATTTGGGTATAAAATAATTTACAAATGTAATGATAGTAATAAATTCTGTAGGGTATGGAGTATTTTTCGGTAAAGTTTTAATACTGAGAGTTTTGCCAAATATTTTTAATAAATTTTACAAAATTTTATTTTACAAAAATAATGTTGTCCAATGGGTGTTCAGAATGAGGCTTTTGTGTTTATTTTTTATTTATTGTGTATATAAAGATGTACAAACTGATGATGCTAATAAATTCTATAGGGTGTGAAGTATTTTTTGGCAAAGTTTGAACGCTGAGGGTTTTTGTAAAATATTTTTAATAAATTTTACAAAATTTTATTTAACGAAAATAATGTTGTTCAAGGATGCAAGAAACTTTTGGGTCAAATTTTTATTTATTGTAATTTAAATTGCTAGGTAGTTTTAAAACAAATTGCACACATAAATTGTAGAAGGTTTAAAGTATTTGTTGTAAAAATTTAAACACTAAGGGTTTAGTACAGATTTTTTAAAAAATTAAATAACATTTTTAATGTATTTTGACAACTATGTTAATTTTACAGACTTACCCGTGTTTAGCAAAATTTGTGAATATGTTTAAAATCTTTTTTTTTAATTTGGTTATATAAAAAAGTACGAATCAATGATGCTAAAGAATTGCATAAGGTGTGACGTATTTGTTGTAAAAATTTGAACACTAAGGGTTTAGTACGAAATTTTAAAAAAATTAAATAAGATTATCAATAAATTCTAATGCCTATGTTAAATTCATAGACTTACCCATGTTTAGCAAAATTTGTGAATATGTTTAAAATATTTTTTTTTAAACTTGGTTATATAAAAATGTACGAACTAATGATGCTAATAAATTGTATAAGGAGTGAAGTATTTTTTTGGCAAAGTTTGAGCACTGAGGGTTTTTGTAAAATATTTTTAATAAATTTTACTAAATAATGTTGTCTAAGGGGCGTCGTGGATGCAAGAGACTTTTATGTTTAGTACAGAATTTTTAAATAATTAAATAAGATTAATGAATTTTGACAACTATGTTAATTTTATAATCTTACCCATGTTTAGCAAAATTTGTGAAAATATTGACCATAAGTTTGCTCATGACAATATCTGGATGAGATTCTGGCCAATCTGGAAATATTCCAGGCATTCGGAATACGTAGACAGTGTCATCGGAATGTGTTGCACCTAAGAAACAAATAGTTATAAATATGAATTAAATTTTTTACATTACCTATAACCTAACTTGGATACTAACTTATACGGTGAGCCAAAAAAAATTAAAATCGGTTTAGTAGTTCAGGAGTACATAGCGGACAAACATCGTGACAGGTGCTTAATAGATAGATATCCATATCTATTATATTTATACTTCTACTATTTTTTGTTACTAAATGTTTAGATATTAAAATGAGTTGGGTAAAATTATCCCATACTGAATAATGAACAATTTTTAGTAATTAATGACGATGTTGGTCAAATTGTTATAATTGTTAAATATTTCGAAAAAGGTTGTTAGGGTAATATAAGTTCTAACCACTGGCATGGTTTCACTGTAAATTTGTGTCAACAATACTATTTCATCTTATCTTTTTATCTTAACAATTTTTTAATGCAAAAAATTCCTTTTACATAAAAACTCGTCTCATAAACCACGCACGCGTCTGATATAATAATTTTCAATTCCGCATACAAACAAATACGACAGGCGCCGATGTAAAAAAATATAGTTGCAATCTCTTACAAATGTTGATAATTATGTTAATCACTTTTAAATATAACTAAATTAACGAGATAAAAATAAATATACATTATTCATTTGAATAAAAACATTGATCGACGGTCAATCGAGATATGCAAATTGGGAACGTGTGGCAGCAGAAATAACTAGTTTGAATAAAATAAATATTAATTGGCGACAAATTATGTGAAATTAATCGTAATACATAAAAAATTATTATTTTTGTATAATTTTCATATTTTTATACTTTGCGATATATTATTCTATGTCACCTTCAGTGGAATGCAAATTCCTTTCAATTTACAGTACACTAAATAAATGCATTTACTTGCACTAAGATTTTTTTTATAATCTCTTAATTATCATAAATACACGTTTACATAGTATTAAGTAAACATAATTAGCATTAATCAGAAGTCATTTAATTATCAATTATATTGCAAATAGTGTGGTTATTAGGTAACATATTATTTTTGCAGTCAACAATAATACTTGATAAGATTACTTTTTATGTTAATTGAAATCATATAAAAGCAATTATTCTTTTGTGCATTTATAAGGTTCAGAAGTCATTTTATATTCATAAGTGGATATAGATGTATTTTTGTTGTTGATGGCTATGATACTGGTTTTAAGGCAATTTAAAATAAACTTTAAGCACACGATTTTAATATTTATTTTCCGGAGGAAGAGATGTTTTGCCAAAAAATCCGATTTGATAATTTTTTTTTTCATTTAACGTTGTAAGCAATTCCAAATGTAAATAACATTCTGAAACGATTTTGCTATTATAATATGTAACAAATCCTGAACCGATTTAAAAAAATTTAAAACTGAAAAATTGTTGGTAGTCGTGCAGGTTAATTTTTTGGTTATGATCGGCAGGAACGTTTCTTCGTAATTATTTATTATAATTTGTTCCTGACGATTTTGATGACTTGTTATAATTTGACATGTGGACTAAAAATAAGAATTCAAGAGATTTTGTGGTCGTGTCAAATTTCCAAATTTTATCGGGACAATTGTAAAAGTTGCTAAATCTCAATTTCGGTTGATTTTTCTTCCATCATTAAAAGTAGTTAATTATAATATTATAATTAATTATATGTGTTATTTATTTCTTACCTTTAATTTCAGTGGTGTGTGCATAAATTGGAGCAAAACTGAACAATCCTTCGTAGTCAAAATTGTACAAATAAATTGGAGGAGGACTGCTCTTTGCTCCTGCATAAGAATGCATTCTTATGGCCTTCGATGTACTGTGGAAGAAAGCTCTGTCCGAAATTAACTGTAAGTAAAAAATAATTATATATATATATATATATATATATATATATATATATATATTAATTTTCTTTTTGTGGGAAGAAAATTTACCAGTTATTAATAAAATTTCTACCATGAACGTTTATTTAAATTTTCCTAAGGTGATGCATAAGCTTATTTTTTTTATTTAAAATGTTTAATTTTATTTTGTAAAAGATTTGTTTACCTCTAACACTCTTTTTATTTCTTTTTTGAAGGAATTTTCTTTATATTTTCAATTAGACACATATTCAAAATAAACAATATTGAATGAATACACATTTGAATATATACGATTTCAATATATACGATTTCAATATATACGATTTCAATATATACATTTCAATATATATGAATGTTTATGTAAATACAAAGTTATTTAATTAAAAAAAAATCATTTTTTTCAAATGTTTGATAGTTCAAAAAATATTTTTTTAAAATTTTTTTTAAATATTCAAATTTTGTAAAGGTTTTCAAAATTTTCGAAAATGTTCCAAAATATTCCAAATTTTCTTACTAATTTAAATAAATTTTTTTTTACTAAGTTTTTGGAAATTATAAATTTCGTTAAGGAAAATTTTAGCAATTTGCCTTAAGGCACCATGCCATGCACCACTAGCTTTTTCAACTTCCCGTAGGGTAAGTTATTGCAATGGGCCGAAAATTGAAATTGAAAATTTTTACATTTTTCGACGTTTTCTGAACATTTTGGCATACCTCAGAAAAAATTGATGACATACACACACAGTGTATGTATGTGTGGAGACAATTTTTTGTCGACGATTTCGGGCGCATGAATGAACCGATTTGAATGATCCAAAAAATATTCTGCTAGTGTTGGTAAATTAATTGTTTTTAGGGATAAAAATTATTTAAATTTTGTTTGGAATTTTTTTTTGTATATCAAAAATAATTCAGATTTTAATTTTAATTCTGACTAAAGTTCTGAAGTTCACTTATATACTTGAAATAAATAATTTTATTTATGTAATTTAGCTCATATAATTGTTATAAATATTAGACAATATTACAGTATTTACAATAATCTATTTGAAAACATTTGTTATTCCTCGATCATTTCGTTACGGTACGAGAAGTTCCAGCAAGTTGCCTTAAGGCACAATAATACACTTTAGTACATTTTCTGTAAAATTCAGTTTTCAGGGCAATACATCAATTAAACAAATTTGTATGACTTTAAAACATTTTTATTTTTTCCATACGTTTCGACACATAGTATCATATCACTTCTTATATATTAGTTTTAATCAATAATTTTTATCTGTGCCTTCAAAACAGAGTCCACTGAAGATGACACAAAACTATGTGTCGAAACGTATGGAAACTAGCTGTAAGTGGAATTCTGTCTTAAGGCAATTAAGGCATCGTGCCTTAAGGCAAATTGCTGGAACTTCCCGTACCAAAAATTATAATTTTTTTAAAAACCATTATAATTTTTTTAAAAACAATTAACATTTTTGAAAAAAAATTACTTTGAAAGAATAAGATTTTTGAGAAACTATAAATCGGACAAAAAATAACTTTTTTTGAAAAAAAAAATTTTTTTTTTAAAAAACATTTTTTTTTAATTTTTTTTTTTTGAAAAAAAATTTTTTTTCTTTATTTTGACATATTGTAGAAGATCTGAACTTTTTTTCAAAGCAAACGTACTGCTTTAACTGCATAGGGACAAAATATAAAGCGCGTAAGCGCCGCGTCGCTGTCTAGCGCATAAGCATTGGTACGGAACCCATAGAAATGTTAACAAAATGTATACTTATTGTTAAAATCTCTATAAAATGTCTGATAATTTGATGTGCGTATGTCTAATGATCATTTTTGACCGCCAAATGGCTCATTTTTTTACTTTTTTCTCCATATCTCCGAAACCGCTAGACCTACCTTTATGAAAATTTTATCGATTCTTCATCTTGTCAATACAAGTGAAATGTTTTTTGAATTATTCAAATCGGACGCTCCGTTCTCTTAAAAACTGAGTTACCGTTTTCGGCACTTTTTGCCCCGTATCTTCGGAACGGCTAGACCTGCCTTTGCCAAAAACTAATCAGCACGTCTCCTTATCAATACGAATCGAATGTTTTTTGAATTATTCAAATCGGTTGATCCGTGTTCCCGAAATCGTCGACGAAAATTTGTATCCGCACATACATACACACACGCACATACATACATACATACACACACACACACACACACACACACACACATACATCCATTTTTTCTAAGGTATGCCAAAATGTTCAGAAACCTTTGAAACGTAAAGATATATAAAAAATTTCATTTTCGATTTTTTTGCGATTACTATAACTTGCCCTACGGGAAGTTAAAAATAAAAATGTTTCAAAGTCATACAAATTTTTTAATTGATGTATTGCCCTGAAAACTGAATATCACATATTTCAACATCAAAATTATATAAAAAATTTAATATATATATATATATATATATATATACATTAATTATTTGTGCATTTTACTTACATTTATGAATTCTTGCAAAGTATCTTCATTAACTTGTCCACTACTTCCAAAGTAAAATTCTTTGATATCTTTCCACGCTGGTTTGTCTTCTCTCAATTCCAAAATAAATGGACCCAAGACATCGATTCTTTTGTTAAAATCATCCATCAGAGTTTTGTTTGTGTAGATATCTAAAAAAAAGGAAAAATCCTTTGAAAACCAAAATTTTAAAATTTAAACTGTCGTATGTCATAAATTTGTGGATAATATGAAATTATTCAAAAATTATTTCATACTTACAATATATTTAATAATATGATATAATAATATTTCATTGTTTGTTGATTAGTGAATGACACTTTTGTTAAACATAAATAAAGAAGAATATATGACAAAATAATTAATATTCATCGAATGCACTTTACTAGTACGTCTTGATTTTACACATTACTATTTTGAATTACCATAACAACTTTGTCACTTTTGAAGCAGTTCTAATCATTTTAGACATAAATAAAAGAACAAGTTGAAAATACATAATTTAGAAAATTTTTAAACTAATTACCTCCTGCTCGTACAATTCCTTCATGAGTAGCAACTCCCATCATCATGGGAACAACATTGGCACCAGCTGCCCTGGTTAATTCCAAGGGAGTATCTGTTATAAAAGGGTTGGGGTTACCTGGTGTCAATTTTTCTACCACTGGTCTGTAGGTTGTTAGAGGATCTACAGCCCAAACCTAAAAAAAATAGAACCAGAAGATATTAGAACTACTATTGCAAAAATACTCTATTACTTTGTATCCTTTTATGAATTTTTTGAGGCAAGATTGTGGTGAGTTATCCTATGATATTTTTTTCTTACCCTGAGTTTGGTTTCGGCTTCAGTAATATCTGCTGCATCCTGTGACCTCAAAAAGTCTACCAATTCCTGGTTAGTCCATTTATCGATGTCTTCTTTTTTGGCACCAAGATAAAAAGCGTGTTTACGTGTTCTGTCTAATTCGTCCCCGAATGGTGTTGCCCAAGGGCCCAGAGACACGCCACTCATGCAAATTATACGATGGAATAAACCTTTAAAAAAATAAAATAAAATAAAAAAAATACATAAAAATCTTGAAGATTCATCAACATTATCACAAAAATGAGTATAGAATAGTGTTTTTCTAACGATGCTATTTTAAAGTAGAGGGCAAAATATGTGAAACCTCACTACCACGCCAAACGTAATTTTTTAACAAAAGTATTTTTTTTTCTTTCCAAAGTTTCAAAAATATTTTTCCTTCCAAAGTTAAAATACGATACGGAAAGTTCTAGCAATTTGCCTTAAGGCACACTGCCATGCACCACTAGTTTTTTTTAACACTTATAAATTCTTGCAAAGTATCTCATTTGGTTATGAGCACTGTTGTTTAGTTTAAGATAGTTGAATATAATAAATTCTAACTAATATAATAAATAAATATAATAAATTCTAATAAATATAAACAGGACTCTATCAGAATATATACGACCATGATGTCAATTTTTTACCGAACGTATTTTTTTATTCTTAATAGTTTTTTTTAACATTTTTTGTCTAATACTATTTTAAAGTAGAGGGCAAAAAATGTGTAACCAAACATCGTCTAAAACAGGACGCTATCAAAAGATATACGACCACATTGTCAATTTTTACCAAAAATATTTATATCCATTAGTTTTTTTAATATTTTGAGCACTGTTATTTAGTTTTCGATACCTGAATATAATTTTCAAGACCACGTCAGTAAATTGTTTCATAAGAAAAAAAAAGTTTTATGACAAAAGTATAGTTATTTTGACACTAGATACAACAGTTCTTTTTTAACAATTTTTAACGAATACTATTTTAAAGTACAGGGCAAAAGATGGGTAACCATCTTTGCTTTGAATTGGTCGACGTAATTATCACGAGAAAAATGGCAACATTGTAAATTTGTTAATGGAAGTATTTTTTGGTTATTAGTTTTTTTTTTTTTATTTTGAGCACTGTTAACACAAACAAAGCGGATGGTTTACCAACTCGTGAACAGGCAACGTATAACTGCGCATGTGAAAAGCAATGATTTTCTAAATAATTTATTTGAAATTTATCCTGCAAACACTTAAGCGACTTGTTATTGCGAACGCAAGGCGAACTGGAAATTGCAATCGTTTGAAGTCAAACGGAAGACGAGTCGGAATCATTGGTATGTCACCAAATCGCCAGCAATTTTTCAATGAATGGTGAAATTCAGTGCGTGTACATCATTATTCTTTGCGGCAAGAATTGCTCGTTGATTTAACCAAGCTTAATTTTTAATTACGGTGCGTGAAGTTCCGGCAATTTGCATTAAGGCACGATGCCATACAACACTGATGTTCTTAGCTATAAACCTTGCGGAGCCGAGACCTTTCCAACGAATGCAGAATTGTCGAAATCGGTTCGTGCGTTCTGGAGTTATATCGTCAGGAAGGAAAACTCGACTTATTTTTATATATATAATATGTAGATAATATTTCCTTTATTACCTTTTGATGATGGTGTCACAGCATGCAAATGTGCAGCACCAGCCCCTGCACTTTGTCCAAAAAGTGTGACATTATCAGGATCGCCCCCAAAACTGGCAATATTTTCCTTAACCCATTTCAGTGCGAATTGTTGGTCTTTCAGACCCCAATTTCCTGGTGCTTCATCGGAACCGGTCGACAAAAAACCTGAAAATTAATTGTTTATATGTTTTTTTCATCATTAAGTACACAAATCGTAATGGGTTTCAACTGATGTATTTTTTTTATTAATTTTACGATTCATTAAACCTGTTTTATTACATCGTGGTTGTAAGTTACAACTTACAACTTGTAACCTTGGGCAATTGAATTGCAAGATAATAAATGTTAATGAGATGACCAATCAATTAACTATCTTTGTAAATGATAATTAAAAATCATTTGTGCCAGAAACTGTTTTTTACTGTAACCAATTTTGGATGTACTTATCTACATTTTTTGTTGATCGATTAAAAGGAGATAACAAAATGCATTATAAGTAATACAGTTGTTGCTGTAAATTGTATTTTTATTAGCTCTTTGTTTTATTTTTAAACATATTTAATTTTGACTGCTGCTTGCAAAACACTTTTTAAAATTCAAAGGAAATCTAGCTAAAAATATTTGAGGATTATTTTTTTTTTGCATAGTTTTATTGCCAATCAAAATAATATACATTTTTACGACAATATGCTGGGTGTAAATGCATTTAAGAGATATCTCTTTTTTTAAATTTTTTTTGACATTTTATTTAGGATCGTATGGCCATTTTTTTTAAATTTTCGAGTGGGATATTGATGAAATTTTAAAAATAATATTAGCTGTCCCTTTTTATTAAATGGAAAATAAGGATTTTTTTTGAGACTTGATCTTGCAACTTTGAGTACTGTAACTATTCAGCTTTTTTATTTTACCTAAAGCTCCAAGACGATAATTAAGGGTCACCAATATCACTCCACCGTCTAATAAATATTCTGGGCCATAAAGATCAGAACTTGATGATCCAGTAAACCATCCTCCACCGTGTAAAAATACCATCACTGGTATCGGAGAAGATTTTCTATGAATCTGAAATATATATAAAAAATATATATAAAATAAAAAAATTGACGAAGAAATCGTGATCTTTTATCCCTATCCCTATTTATAAAGTTTTGTAAAACTCAATGTTATTGTAATAATATTTTTGTGCGATAAAATCAAATATTTTAGCTCGCAGATTGCAAGAAGCAATTTTTATAGATCATCAGACATCTGTGTCATAAAGTATTTGGAAGTTACGACCATAACTAAACAAGTAAAAATGGTTACGATTTTTCTAAAAAAGAAAATACTGGAACAAAAAGTTTTTGTTCAATGAATCTTTCATAGAATAAACCATGTATTTATAATTTCATAGATCTCCAATATATTATACTAGATCAATTCATACATCTCTAAATCATCACATCATAGATCTCTCATATATTTAACTAGGAATATTCTTGGTTTTGTATTTTCGTTCTGCTTTAAAATTTCTGTCATCTAAGTCTATTATTATTTATTAGTAATGAAATTCTATTACAAATAGATAAAAATTATTTTTTACTTACCTCTGGGGTATAAACATTCAAGTATAAACAGTCTTCTTGTCCTTCGACTTTTGGATTTGGTAGAAAATAATTTTTTTGTACACATTGTGGTGGATTTTCTGTTGCATTTAATGTAGATGTCCACGGATTTGCTGGTGCAGGCGGCTAAAAAATAAAAAAAAAACTAATAAATACATATATTAATAAACATAAAATTTTATACTATCAACACTATAAATAGAATTCCTTGATTTGTATAAATATTTGTTATAAGATTTTATCAATTATATCATTGATCACATATTTTTTTTGCTATATCTGATGCTCTAAATATTTGAGTTTATTTAGATTTTTATCTAAAGAATTTGTGAATGACGCAAATTGTTTTTACATCAAAAGAAATTTACATGTTAATCTGTATTCTTTATCGCGTAACATCAAAAATTTTAATATTCAAAGTAAAATAAATATTTTTTACAGAGTACTTCCATTCGTAACTTGATTATCCAAATTTTTACCAATAGTAATTCTTCAAATTAATCGAATTACTTTTTAACAAAGTTTCATAATTTGTTTAAAATTTAATAATAATATTATTAATTTTATTATTCAAAGTAAAATAAATATTTTTACAAAGTACTTCCATTCGTAACTTGATTATCAACATTTTTACCAATATTAATTCTTCAAATAAATCAAATTATTTTTAACAAAGTTTCATAATTTGTTTAAAATTTAATAATAATATTATTAATTTTATTATTCAAAGTAAAATAATTATTTTTACAAAGTACTTCCATCCGTAACTTGATTATCAACATCTTTACCAATATTAATTCTTTGAGTAAATCATAATATTTTTGAACAAAGTTTCACTATTTTATTAAGATTTAATATTCTTAATATTAATTGTAAATAGAAAGTAGGTATATCATTATACTAGAAATTGTCCTTGTAACTACTAAAGTTGTCTTTTATGATAAGCATATTATTGAAAATCCATATTTATTGAATTAAACGATATTAATTTTTATGAGTTTATTTTAAAATATCAATTTATATTATCGATAACAATTCCTTAAAGTAATGGTTGGAAATGTGCAGCAAAAATATACTTCAAAAAACTAAAATTATAAAGGATATTCGTTATTTCTAAAAATATTTTTAAAAAACAATATTAGCAAGGTATATTTTATTAACTTAATTTTTAATCGTTTATTGCTGACTCTATAATATATGTATCGTCTGATTTTATAATAGTTTGATATTTATCTGTATATTTCTCAATATCATCAGGTGGTCTGTTTATTTCTCAACTAAAGTTCAAAAACTTCAAGAAAATTTTAAGGATTCAAGATTACTAGTTTATATATTAATTATATATACTAGATTAATTTACTAATACGACAAAATAAAAATATTAGGACATCAATAAATTTGGTAAAAAATAATTTAGTATAGATATTATTCATGCAATGATTATTATATGCAACATGTTAAGTTGAGTAAGTTCACTATATGTTCCGATTTGTCCAGAAATCAGAATTTTTGTTCAGGATTGTCTATCATTGTTTAAAAGTATAGTTTAAAATTTATTCTTAGCTGATAATTCATAAACAAATTACAATTACCGACTAAAAATCTGAAAATGATAAGTATATGATTATTTGAAATTTTACGTTAAGAGAGAAAATTGTCAAATGCAACAATTAAAATAATTCTAATATATGTACATTTATATATATATATATATATATATATATATATATATATTTATATATATAGATAATATGCATATATATATATATATCCTTCTTATAACAATTATATCTAATTATTATTTTACCTTAAACCGTAGGTCCCCGACTGGTGGTTGGGCATAAGGAATACTCCTAAAACTGCGAATTTTTTTGCCACTTCTTGAGGTCATGTAGGACCCTTGAACAGGGCCGTATTGGGTTCGAACCAAAGGCCCAGAAGTGTTCTGTGTAGAGGCTCCAGAACTACAAATTACACTTAAAATCCCGAAGGCCACAGATAACTTTAATGCAGAAGTATTCATCTAGAGGAAAAAATAGGAGGCAAAGGTTAGTGAAAATTTTAATTTGTGTTTGGTGTTGGGATAAACGTAATAATTAATTATTATTTAAAAATTTAGCTAAAATTAAAAGTTATATCTAATTCAAAATTCCTTCGACTTTTTTATCAGTAATATCGACATAGATTTTCGATTCAAAATCGTCCAAATCTAATTGAATTTGTTAGTGATAGTTTACTTGATAGTTTAATATAATTGTTGGATATTTACTTGATATTCTACTAAGAGCTTTGGAATCACTTGGTTAGAAAATCATTCTTTTTTTCATGTAAACAGCTTTTTACAGTCGGCCTTAGATTGAATAATAAAGCTAAACTTTTTCATTTCTTCCAAAATCTACTGTTACTAAGATAATACTTATATGATATTCTATATGTATATACACTCAGTTTATTTTTCTTCATAAAAGTACTATTAATTCCTAATCATTTTGTTGTCTCGAATAAATTATTGAAAGTCAAAATCAATTAGTAATTTATATACATTATTTATGAAAGTATATATTTTAATACTAAATTCCAGAATTTCATGCAAACTTTTGTCATCTAATTAAAACTGATTGGTTGAAGTTCACATTTAAATTTTGCATCAAATTGGTGACCAAATTGAAATTTAGTAAATCCATAAATAAGAATTTGAAAAAAAATTAGTACATTAAACATTAAGCATATAGGGATTACAGTTTCGAGAACAAAATGTCATATAATTCATCTAAAAATTGTACAGAAATAAGTACATATATATATATATATATATATATATATATATATATATATAATTTTTTTACCATCATTCGCTAATTATGAAGCAAAATCTGCATATAAATTTATGCAAAGTCAGAAAAAAACGAGTTATAAAATCGCTTCAAATTAATTTTAATTATGATACAATGTATCAAAATCCGGTTTATGTGAATTAAAATAAAACCGGACATACGGAAGAAATACAAAGTCCGGTATATATAAAAAAATATATATAAAAAAGTCGTTCCCTTGCAAATCGGAATTGCTTCCTCGTAAAATCTTGATACAAGGTTGGATTTATTTTATATGATACTGTTATATTTTGAATATTATTGATTTTTATATTTTTGAACAGTCAGAAATATTCTTGGTGTTCTGTAAGCTGTTGTTAGTAATTTTTTGATAAAATACATATGACAACCCAGTGGTTGTCTATTTTCTAATTGTGATAAAAATAATATTAGGTATTTCTAATATTGATGCTGTAGTAGCAGAAATGATTTTAAGAGCTATTTTTACTTCGAAACACATTTAAGAATAATATTCGATATTTCTCATATTGATGATGTAGTAGCAGAAATGATTTTAAGAGCTATTTTTACTTCGAACACACATTTATATCATATTTTTATGTGATTATATTAATACTACTTGATATCAATCTGTCTTGGTACAATTGGTTATATGACTAAAGCTTTTAAGACTGAACCACGAACAACCTCGATCATTTTGATGGTAAAAATTATTTTTTTGCATTATAATTTTTTATATATTTAATTTCTTATATAGGATTTCATAAATATAGAGTTAGACTCTGATATGAAAAATATGCAATTATTTATATAAAAATACTAATTTTATAATTTTTTTGAATACTATTTTAATAACTATTATTATTTTTACATTTATTATTTAGCTGTTGCTTTATTTTTTAAATATTAACTTATTTCGTTTATACAAACGATGTAATTCAGGACTTAGAAATTTTATCAAAGTCGTTTACAAAATTTCATTGCGAATTAAGAGCTATTTGTGTAGAGACTTTTTTCTTAAATTTTGTATTTCAGGAAAAGAATCAATAACTTTTGAAAATTAATATGCTCGACTTCTGAAGTCTAAATATAAATAATCACATTGCATAGTTAAAACAAGCTTCATTTTGAATATTTTCAAATTAATTTGAATAAAATTGTAACTCATGTGGTACCAAATATATGGAAATCAATCACATTTTAATTTATCTGCGATTTAAATTAATTATTTTGGTAGAACTACGTTAAATATGCAAAATTTAGGAAATTAATTATCATCTTTATTGGTGTAAATTAATATGTTTTAATTAAAAAGAAGAAATAAAAAAAATTAAACTAAAAATTGCTCGATTTTGAATATAATCTATTATAAAATTTCTTCAAAAAAACAAGCTTAATTTTGATTTTTTCTACAATTTTCTTATAGGATTTTTTAACTTTTTGCTAAATATTTTTAAATTTAACAGTTATATCTATATTACAAAATATTGCTACAATTTAGAAACAGTTATTCTTGTAGAAAAACGTTAAGTCCTCAAATTTAAGAAATATATTTTGTTAATTTTATTTTATTTTTGCAATTTAAAATGATGTTATTTTTGTAGAAAAATGTTAAATTCTCATATTTTACATTATCATTTTCGAATTTTGATACCAGTTACTTTTAAAAATTATTATATTTTAATTCTAAAGTCTTTTTTAATTCAATTGTAAGTAGTTACAAGATATCTTTTTTAAATTAAATAATATTATAACTTATTTGTTCTTACAAAAATTTATTTTACTGTATAAAGCCGATTGACGTATAAATAAATAAATAAATAATTAATTACTACTAAATCCGTTAAACAAATACTCACATTTTTATTAATAAATGTTTCAATAATTTAAAATATTTATTTGTAAAAAAAGTTAAAATCTCAAATTTCAACCCCAATTTTCAAAACATAAATTTCAACTTAAATCTCAAAATTCTCTGTTGTCAACTACTTTGAAAGTAAAAGCAACTTTGTAAATAATTTTTGAAAACATAATTTAATGAATTAAATATTTTGGATAATTTTAAATTGTAAAAGGACGTGAAATTTCCTATTGTTTAACAAAAAAAACATGCAACATTTAAATATTTTTAGTTTATATTAAATATATTTATGCAACATTTAATTATTTATTTTTTAAAAAATGGTAAACTCTCAAATTTCAACCTCAATTTTCAAAACATAAATTTCAACACAAATCTCAGATTTTTTTTTGTCATTTACTTTGAAAGTAAAAACAAATATGTAAATTATTTTTAAAAACATGATTAATTGAATTAAATATTTTGTAAATTTAGTTAATTTTGAATTATAGTCAAATGGACGTTAAAAATTCATATTTTTTAACAAAAATTATTCATTCTTTCTGAATATTTAAATATTTTTATTTTCAATGTAAATACGCAAATATTCTCAATTCAATTATAGTTAAAATAAAATAAATTTTAAGACATTTTTTGTTTTCAATTCTTATTATTATCATAGAAAAACGTTAAACTTTTAACTCCGGAATAAAATTTATTTAGTTTATGATATTTACATGTGAAAATAAATATGTTTTAATTGTATTTTTTTTTCAAATGTTTTCTAATATATAATTACCTCAAAGTCGAATAAAAAAATCCAAATATATATATATATATATATATATATATGTATATATATATATATACCTTATTTGCTTACCTTTGTCGTTTTTTTATATCAAATATACTCTTGGTAATCCACAAATCCTTGCGCACACAAACTTCAAACAGTTTTAACACAATTTCACTAATTTTATAATTTAAAAAAACACTATACACAAATTTTAAAATACATAAATAGTCATAAATAAATTTATTAAATTTTTTTTCTTCCAAGAACGTCCAAATGCACGTGCTAACACCCAACGACTGACTGATCACAAATATATTTTTCGCCAACACAAACTGTCACTACGACGATAATAATTTCTACGAGATTATGTGCGATTTTTAGGAAAAAAAATTATTACGTAATCGATAATAATAAATCGAGTTTTAAATCACATATGGGAAAAGTTAGAGATTTAGGATTTAAAGTCCAGATGAATTTTGGCAGGAGATTGCTCCAGTCTTGATAAGAAATTGTACCTAAAAAAATAGAATAAATATATAAATATTAAAATTTTAAGGTTTTTATGGTTTTTGAAATTTAGTTTCAATCGGTGAAATAAATATTTAAATTATTTTTATTTTAAAAAAATAACACTAAGATTATAGAGAATGCTGAAGGGCTTGCAAATTGTACGGTTATTTTCAGGGAAAAGATTTATATATTTGATTTTAAAATTTTATATTAAAATTAAGTTTAACTAATATTTAAATACTTTCTGGAGCTATATTAGTGAATTTTTTTTAAGATTTTTAATATTTGGGTAAATAGGCAAAATTGCATTCATAATTGTTAAACTAACACTACCAAAACTCTATTATATCTGTTACACCCAGAGAGATTTAAATTTAAAACTATTAATATAAAATTATGAATCGAGTTTATTAAAAATTATAAATTATATTATATATTTTTTACAATAATCTTGTTTTATATTATTCTTGTATTTCACGTTTTTTATCTGTCGATTTAATTGGAATGCTGTTGACTTTTTCTGCTCGACAGAAATTTCATAATAAGATATGTGTCTGCATTTTTGCACGATCCGAATAATTAAATATTTATTTATACATATATGTGTATTTTTTGAAAGTGAAAAATTCAAAAAAAATTATTACAATTTGTTCAGAAATTACATCAAAGGTTTGATTCAATTTTGTTGGGGAAAGTAATCATAATATTAAATTTATTTATTTATTTATTTATTTATTTATTCAAATTATCTCTACATAAAACATTAGAATAATGTTCAACAATGTTTCAATCATTTAAAAATTATACTCAAAAAAATCGTTATACTTTTTTATATTTAATTATTTTTTTTTGTAAGTAACTCTGAACTATCTCAAAAGATTAAAACAATAACTGATTTTATTTAAATAAAATTTCTAATTTATTTGAAGGTTTTTCTAAAGTGATCTAGTTTTTTTTCTAAACACGTTTTTGCGGTTTGAACAAATATAGTGAGTTATTAAATAAATATTTTAATAATAAATATAATGTCATGTTACTGTAATACCGATATTTGTATTGTTA